GTGTGTGTCTGTGTGTCTGTCTGTCTTGTGTCTGTGTGTGTGTCTGTGTGTCTGTGTGTGTCTGTGTGTGCCTGTGTGTGTGTGTCTGTGTGTGTCTCTGTGTGTGTGTGTCTGTGTGTGTGTGTCTGTGTCTGTGTCTTGTGTCTGTGTGTGTGTCTGTGTGTCTGTGTGTGTGTCTGTGTGTGTCTGTCTTGTGTCTGTGTGTGTGTCTGTGTGTGTGTCTGTCTGTGTGTGTCTGTGTGTGTCTGTGTGTGTGTGTCTGTGTGTGTGTCTGTGTGTGTCTGTGTGTGTGTCTGTGTGTCTGTGTCTGTGTGTCTGTGTGTGTGTGTGTCTGTGTGTGCGTGTGTGTGTGTCTGTGTGTCTGTGTGTGTGTCTGTGTGTGTGCCTGTGTGTGTGTGTGTCTGTGTGTGTGTGTGTCTGTGTGTGCCTGTGTGTGTGTGTCTGTGTGTCTGTGTCTGTGTCTTGTGTCTGTGTGTGTGTTTGTGTGTGTGTCTGTGTGTGTGTGTGTCTGTGCGTGTGTCTGTGTGTGTGTGTCTGTGCCTGTGTCTGTGTGTGTCTGTGTCTGTGTGTGTCTGTCTGTGTCTGTGTGTGTGTCTGTGTGTGTGTGTCTGTGTGTGTGTCTTGTGTCTGTGTGTGTGTCTGTGTGTGTGTCTGTGTGTGTCTGTGTGTCTGTGTGTGTGTGTGTGTCTGTGTGTGTCTGTGTGTCTGTGTCTGTGTGTGTGTCTGTGTCTGTCTTGTGTCTGTGTGTGTGTCTGTGTGTGCCTGTGTGTGTGTGTCTGTGTGTCTGTCTGTGTGTGTCTGTGTGTGTGTCTGTGTGTCTGTGTCTGTGTGTGTGTGCCTGTCTGTGTGTGTCTGTGTATGTCTGTGTGTGTCTGTCTGTGTGTGTCTGTGTCTGTGTGTGTGTCTGTGTGTGTCTGTGTGTCTGTGTGTGTCTGTGTGTCTGTGTCTGTGTGTCTGTGTCTGTGTGTGTCTGTCTGTGTGTGTGTCTGTGTGTGTCTGTGTCTGTGTGTGTCTGTGTGTCTGTGTGTGTCTGTCTGTGTGTGTCTGTGTGTGTGTGTCTGTCTGTGTCTGTGTGTGTCTGTGTGTGTAGGGGGGTGACTCCCTCTAACTCTCAGCATCAGTCAGATCAGGAGCCCCAAAGTCTTCCACATCCAGCCTCTCCTGTCCCTCTCTGCCAGTTTGTTTTCCTGCTGGTACAGATCCCCTCAAAGGAGGAACAAAAAGCATGTCTGGTCAGCTTCTGAATCCCTCTAAACGCTCCCTCAGCCCGGCCTTCAGCTTCACTAAGGCACACACCCTGTTCAGCCTCTTCTCCTTACCCTGGCACATTTAACCCGGTGCAGGAGCTCCCTTCTCACCTCTCCCCCGCTCCCCTCCCCTAGCCGGCATGCCCTCAGGGGAGCTGTACACCAGGTAAGTCTGCAGTTTGCTCCCAAGGCCTTAGCTCACAACCGCAGCTGGTTGTTTCTCTAACAGGGGCTGCATTGAGCTCCTGACAGACCCCGCGGCCTGGAGGATGCTGCCTCCGAAGATTGAGGGCAGGTGACCTCCGGGCCGACCCCCTCTTCTCCCTCACCCTGTCCAAGTCCTGCAGGTGGTGCCCGCCCAGGTGCAGCCACACCCCCAAAAGCAGCCCGTTCCCTCCAGTGAGCCCATCCTGAATGCTCAGTGGCCCCCACCTCTTCTCCTTCCTCATGAGATGTGCAGTGAAGACCCTCTCCTCACTGATGCCCTGTGGCCCACCGCACCATCAATAACAGCACGCACTTATTGAAGCTGCACACCTAGGACACTTTCTGGACTAGGGGGCCATCATTGAGTCACCAAGCCCACAGTCCTCCTTACCCAAAAGGAGGTGGCCCAGGAGGCCATGTCCCCAGGGAGAAAGGACCCCTGGAGAGCAGAGCCCAGCCCAGAGCAGGCCCTCCCTCCTTCCCCAGAACCTGGCTGCAGCCCGCGAGCTCCACGGCTTCCACAAGGCAGCGGGCGAGCTCCGGGGCTGGTTGCAGGAGAAGGCCGCCATGTTGGAGGGAGCCAGCTGTGGCCACGACCTGGCGTCTGTGCAGGCCCTGCAGCACCAGCACAGGCACCTGGAGGTGAGGGCCCCAGGGGCCGCCCATGTGAGCCCCTCCCTGTAGGTGATGGGCGAGGGGCCTGTCCAGCCTCTTCCCCAGAGGCAATAGGGCCCACCCCCACCCCAGGACTGCCTGCCCGCACCTCTTCCCTAGAAACCCAGACCCCTTCTGTGGGGCTCTGGACTTAGCCCAGGCTGTGGACAGAGCCAGGGTGGCCTAGAGGGTCCATGAAGCGGAGCAGGTCCAGCGCTGCCCGAATGGGGAGAATGAGGCCTGATCTCATGTTCTGGCTGCAGGGGGCGCTGGCGGCTGTGGAGAAGGAGGCGGCACGGGTGGGGATGGAGGCCGGCCAACTGCACCAGCTACACCCTGCGGCCCAGGAGGGCCTGGCTGAGCGGCTGGCCGAGGTGCAGGAGGCCTGGGCCACCCTGGATGCGAAGGCCCGGGAGCGGGGCCAGCAACTGGAGCAGGCTGCCCAGGGCCACGCCTTCCTTGGGCACTGCCAGGAGCTGCTGTAGGTGACCTCCTGCCTCTGCCGTGGGCTCCCTCTGCCCTGTGGGATGAGGGGCACCCAGCTCTTCAGGGCTGGACGCTCCCGCCTGCCCCCTGCTCAGCCTGTGCCCAGCCCTGCCGCCCCGCCTGCCCTCCTGGCCCTGACTCACTGTCCACTCCCTCCGCACAGCATGTGGGCTCAAGAGAAGCAGGCGCTGGTGTCCATGCAGGAGCTGGCGGGGGCCGAGCAGCTCCTCGGGCAGCAGGAGGAGCTGGGGCAGGAAATCACGGAGCTCTGCCTTCGAGCCCAGGACGTGTGGCAGGAAGGGCAGCAGCTGCTGGACAACAGCCACTTCATGTCCCCAGAGGTGTGAGCACAGAGGGTGGGCCTGGGATTGAGCCAGGACAGAGCCCCATTGCCCAAGGCCTCAGAGCCCTTAGCAGGCGCAGAAGCCGTCAGGAGAGGAAGGCCTTCCCTCCCCTCCTCAATGCTCTAGCCCTGCCCTGCCCAGGTGGTTCTACCTGAGCATCTCACCTCTCCCCACCGCTGCCCCCCGCCCCAGGTCACAGAGTGTCTGCAGGAGCTGGACAGGCAGCTGCAGGAGCTCCGGGAGGCCTGGGCCCTGCACCGGGAGCGCTGCCAGGAGAGCCAGGGCCTTCAAGAGCTGCAGCAGACGCTGGAGCAGGCCGAGGCCTGGCTGGCCTCCCGGGAGGGCCTCCTGCTGGACCCCGACTGCGGGGTGAGTGGGGGCCCTGCCCCTTAGCCGGCCACACCATTTGCCAGTGAGCAGATCCTGCTGCTCCTCCGGCTCTCTGCCACCCAGGCTGGCCGCACAGGGTGGAGGGAAGGCTTTGGCATCCCTGGGAGCCAGGCCTCACCCTGACTTCCTTCTCCCAGCACTCAGTGTGGGAGGCAGAGTTACTACTCCGCAGGCACCAGGACTTGGAAAAGCGGCTGGCAGCCCAGGAAGAGAGGTTTGACCAACTGCAGCGCAAAGAGGTGAGAGGGAGGCTGGGGTGAGGGTGCGGAGAAGGGAGTGAGGGCTGCTGAGAGCAGCCCCTGGTCTCAGCCAGAGGTGGGCGTCCCTTCAGGAAAACCTGTTCTCTTCTTTCCTTCCCAGCTGCAGAGTCCTGTCACCTCAATATTCTGGGTAGGGTAGGGTGCTACTATGGCCCGGGATGAGAGGGAAGTCTCCTAAGCAGAAGGAGGAAGAGTTTAGGAACAATGAACCGACAGGAGCTCTCTGGAAACTGGATGGGAGCATTTTTTTTTTAACCTTTTTTGAGATAAAATTCACATAACGTAAAAGTCACCATTTTAACCATTTTAAAGTCTACGCTTCAGTGGCTTTTGTATACTCAGTGTTATGCAACCATCACCATCTAATTCCAGAACATTTTCACCACTCTAAAAAGAAACCCACCCCACTAAGCAGTCACTAGGGTGGGGGCGGATCTTGAAAAGAGAGGCTGGGCCTGGGGCCCCCTCGAGCCCGGAGCCTGCAGCCCAGGGCAATGGAGGCTGGGCCTGGGGCCCCTGGAGCCTGCAGCCTGCAGCCTGGGGTAATGGAGGCTGGGCCTGGGGCCCCTGGAGCCTGCAGCCTGCAGCCCAGGACAGTGGCCAGTCAATGCCGGGCCTGGCTCACCTCTCTCCAAGGTGGGGCAGAGCCACTGTAGCAGGTGAAGGCCAAGGTTCTGAGACCTGGGGGAGCTGGCAGAGGGCAGCCTGTTGACCTTTCTCGAGCGGAGGCTGAGGTGAGGGACCTGCAGCCAGCTATCCCCAGCAGGCTGCACACCCCCTTCACCATCGCCTTCTCCCCGGGGGCACATGGCCGGGCAGCAGGAGCCCAGCAGGGCTGGGGCTGTGGGGTGAGGGTTCCACTCTTCAGCCAGCACCTGAGGCCGGGAGCACTGGGCATAGGAATGAAGGGCAGGGGGACCTGGCCAGCCTTCCAGAGCGGGCCCGCCCTCTGTGCTGGTCCAGACATCTCCCCAGCCCCCGTCTTGCATTTTCAGGATGCAAATGTGCCCCCACCATGGAGGGGGTTTTGAAGTTGCTCCTTCCTGGAGGGAGGCAGCTCAGTGCTGGAAGCTTCTTATCCAGGCAGCTCCCTTGAGGAAGCCTCCAAGGGGCTCTGGGGGGCCGTCTGGGCCTGGCTCCCTGGTAGTGTGGGCTCCGTAGACCCCACCCCCGCTCGCAGGGCAGTATGGCTCCTTGGGGTCATGTCACAGCTTCTTCCCCCACCATGGGGGAGAAAGGGCTCCCCCTCCCTCTCCTCCTTTTCATGGCTTCCCTGTAAGAGCTCGCCCTGGGTGAGTGAAGGAGCCTTGGTGGTTAAGTGCTTGGTTGCTAACCGAAAGGTTGACAGTTGCAATCTGCTCCTATAAAGAAAACCCTATGGGGCAGTTCTACTCTGTCACATTGGGTGATTGGGTCACACTGGGTCACTATGAGTCAGAATCAAACAACTGGATGGATGCAGACCATTCTTTGAGGATAAAAGGAGAAGTGACAATAGCTACAGAAGAACCCAGGTGGAGAGAAGGTCTGTAATCCCTGTGTAGGCTAAGGGAAGGAGCTGGTGGAAAGGGAGGGTCTGTAATCCCTGTGTAGGCTAGGGGAAGGAGCTGGTGGAGAGAGGGTCTGTAATCCCTGTGTAGGCTTGGGGAAGGAGCTGGTGGAGAGGGAGGGTTGATGATATGGAAAGAGGTGGGGAGTGAAGGAGTAGGGTTCCTGTGTATCCAAAAGTTGGGACCAGGGTTCAGCCATGGGCAGAGGGTGCACGTCTTGGGGTACCTCTTCCTCTGAGGCAGGAAGAAGAAAGACCAGATACTGTGGACATAGATGAGTTGGAACAGTAGCTGCTTTCAAATTCATACAAATGTAGGACTATTATCTATCATTACTTTATTTAGAAGATTTGCTTCCTTAAAAAAGCCATCTCTGTATTAATTTTTTTATATATTAATAAAACCTAAGGTCAGAGACATTATTTAGACATGGATCAAAACTTCTTTATCTCTTGTAGTTTTTCTAACAGAATGAAAAGAAATAATTAGTTCATGCCTGAAAAAAGATCAGTCGGCTTCCTGGATCCTCCTACTAGGGGACTTTGGTCTGATTCAATCATTTTCCTGGGAGCCTCTGGATGAAGACCCATGGCCAGGCTTTGCCCAGAGCCTGGCTGCGGCTTCGTCTGGCTCTCCATAGCCCAGCTCGTGCTACTGGGAGGGTGGCTGTGGGGCCCTGCGGGGAGCTGCCTCGCCTGCTCCCCACGAGAGGACAGCGGTGGAGGAAAGCTGAGGTGGCCACAGTGCCCGTCTCTCACTCTCCTCAGAATGTAGCTTCTACAGCCACCTTTGACCTCGAGGGAGCCCAGTGTGGGAGGCCGATGGATCACCACGATGGGAAACACACTTTCTCTGTGAGGTGAGGGCCGCGTGGGGTCCAGAGACGCTGGCAATGGGGACACGACTCAGTCAGGCTCAGCTCCCAAGAGCCGCCGTGGCCGAGGGGGCCGGAGGCAGGGTCCCCAGGGGGCAGGGCATTGACCCCTCGCTGTCTGTGGTGCCAGGCTGGGCGACGGAGCAGAGCACCTCCTTTCGGCACGGTCAGAAGGCCAGGCTGAGATCTGGCTGCGAGCCCCGGGCATCATGGAAGGTGAGTTCCAGGGGAGGACTGAGGTAGGTGGGCTTACTGTCTTTTCAGTCAAGGAATTTAAGGCCCAGAGAGGTTATACTACCTGCCCAGGACCACACAGCTGATTAGCAGCAGCCTTGAGATCAGGTGTCCTGGCCCGCCCCCTCAGGATCTGCCTCTGAGACCCCCCATCCCTCGTCTCTAGGATCCCTGTGGAGTCTGTTCCTCCGAGGGCTTTCCTTGGCTGTGCTTTGTCGGGTCCTGGGGGACTTTTCTAAGCTTCTCGCCCCCAGGTGGCTCTGAAGGCCACCACGGCGGCCACGCTGGGCTCTGCGTCAGGAGGACGGCGTGAAACCAGCTCTCTGACCACGCCTCATGGCCGTGGCCTCACGGGTCTCCAGGTGGAGGGACTGTGTTCAGGGAATGTTCTGAGGCTGCTGCGGGCCCCACCCGTGACCACCTCCCACCCTCTCGGCCTCACTGTGTCCTCTTGGTCCTTCCAGAAAAGTTTCTCAGCATTTCAGAATCTCCCCACCTCCTCCAGGCTGACCCTTAGCTCGTCTGAGTCTGTCCTGAGGAGGTGGGCTGCACTGGGGGGAAGACCTGGATGCCCAGCCCAGGTTGCTCCACCACAGGGAGAAGCTTGATGCACAGGGATTCCCCAATGCCCGCTAAGCCTCCAGGGGGCGTGTGTGCTGAGCTGGGTGGCCTGAGGCTGCGGCGCCCCGGCCCTGCAGCCCTGAGTCTGAGCCCAGAACTCAAAGCCAGGCCTCTCAGCCTCCCTGATGACAGTGTTGCTGAGAGGCTGCCCAGCACGGCCTCTCGGCTCAGGTAAGGCACCTGTGTGGGGGCGGGGGGCGATTTGCACACTTGACACCCTCCACCACCCCTGAGACGTAGACAGCCTTAACACCTACCCCCTTGGGTGCCAACCTGGGACAGCAGGTCCTGGGCCACGAGGCTCCCTTTCCCCGGATTCCACCACTGCCCCAGCCAGGGGCTCAGTCCCCTGGGGTCCTGCCTGCGCCCCTGCCCCGTTCCCTTTCCCACTAACTCTGTGTGTGTGTGGGGGGGGGGGGGGTGTGTGTGTGTGTGTGTGTGTGTGTACGTGCATCAGCAGACCCACACAGCCCTTCAAGTTCCCACAGACGACTGGTCCCACCGAGAAAACTGCACACGGCTTTGAACGCCTTTCCCACGCCGGCCCCACCCGTGGTAAGAGGCAGCCTGGCTCTCCCTTTGCATATTCCTAGAAAGCCTGCTCGGATGTGTCTACCTGGGACCCACACATTCCACGCCCTGTGGCCTGCCTTCTCTTCTCCCCTAAGACAGGGTATTTGTTTGCAGGGCAGCCGCCTCCCCACGCCTTGCTTGTACCCCTGCTCTCTGTGCCGTCCTCTCCTGCCTTCCCTGTCCAAAGGCCCAGTCCCCCTGCAAGGGGAAAAGGGAGCCTGACTGTCACAGAGGGAGCCAGGAGTCTGTGTGCACCGGGGGGGGGGCAGAGATAACATGACCAGACCGGGGCCGAGGAAATGCAAAGGCTGGGGAGATGTGTGGGTTAAAGTGTGGGAACACGGCTCGCATTTGGGTTCCTGTGCCTCTGTTCGTAGGTCTGGCATCATCTGCTCAGCTGCCTCACTGCAGCTCTTTCCCACCAGTGGGCATCAGGGAGCTCTGGATGAGGGGACTCTTGGGGTTGGATGAAAACAGGGAAGGGGATGGAGACAGGAAAATGTAGGTGAAGCCTTCATAGGTCCCCCAGGTCCGTGACAAGCCAAGATACTTTCTCTTCCTCAAGCTCTCTCTCTCTCTCTCTCACTCACACACGCACGCGCACACCAGAAGAGGTAGCCGTGGGCACGGTCTCCCGTGTAATTATCCACGTCCATGCACACTTCTCCAGGGCCCACAGGTGCCATGTTGTGAATCAGGTGACGTGCTGGTGACCGAAGCCTGACCCCGGACACAGTTCTGCTCCGTGACCCTCGCCCTGTGCCTGGCGCCTGGCCTGAGAGTCACTCGGCCAGGCTGGACACATGGAGAGAATCAAGGGTCATGAGAATCAAGGTGGTTATCTGCCACCCACCCACCCCACACAACTGTGTTCCTAGTATCCACTTCCCACATCAAGGCTAGAAGTAATTGGGGTGTTGCACGGGGGGCCAGAGGGCGGGGGCACGTGTGCCTGGAGAAGATTCTGGGGTGGCTGGGCCCTAAATTCACTCCGCCTCCCTGTTCTTCCAACAGGTGTGGGCCCAGAAGCAAATCCCGAGCTGGCACCAAACCCCAGGGCTATGAGCAAGGACATCGTCTAGGAGACCCAAACAGGACTCAGCTACAGGCACCTCAGCCCCAGGCTCTGCCCAAAGCCAGGCCAGACCCCAGGAGCAGCTTCGGGAATAGACAGCTCCTTGTTAGGAGTCAGGCCCTCCAACAGCACAGCCGGCTGAAATTATGCCGTCATGCCGGTCCCTTTCTCTGGCTCGTCTGGCCCCCAGTCTGGCAGGAAGCAGCCCTCTGACTGAGTCCTTGGCCTCACCCCAAGATCCCTCCCAGCAAAGAGGCCAGGCATGTTGGCGGTCACTGCCTGTGAGTCTGCTCGTCTGGGCAGGGCTAGGGTTACGGTGGCAGAGACCTCTAGGCCAACCTGGCTCCTATAACGGTCACTTCCTGCTTGGAAACAGCACCGGGCGCAGGGAGACATGGGCGTGAGCCTGATGATGCCCAGCTCTTCAGGGGAAGCCTACGCTAACTGGCCAGGTCTTCACCATGCCTGGGGGGATGTATCGTTGGTGTGTTTTTTAAACCAGTCTTTGCAATGTCCAACCAAGAGCCTGTAATGACGCACTCCCTCTTAGCAGCAATGACAGACGAGCCCAGAGAACACTGCACGTGGGTCCGAGCCTCTGTAATGCATCAAGTGTGCCGCTGCGCTTGCACAGCTGCTCAGGGCAGCAAGGAGGGGCGAACGCACGGGGCACGGGCTCTGACCACGCCCACTAGTACAGTCACTGCTGCTCTGGGCTGCCTTCCCCCCATCTCCACCCTGGCTGGCACAGAAACTGCACCCCACGTCTTCCCCGTGCTTGAAGAAGAGGCCCGCTCCGGCCCGCTCCGTGGGGACCAGGGCCAGCTGCACCTGTAGCAGCAGCTGTAAGGTGGCTGGGCCTCACTCCTGGCCTCCAGAAGGAGGGAGGGGCCCAGCCCTCTGTTTAAAGCCTTCAACCTCCTGGGGGTCGGGTGCTCAGACTGGACTCTGTGACAGGGTTGCTGGCAGCTTTGGCCCCACGTCACATCCAAGGTATCCAGGAATTACAGCTCGGTAGAGCCCCCAGAGGGGCGGGAGACACGACGGGACCATCCAAGCCCCCCAGAGGCTCTGGAGCAGCCAGGCAGCCCTGCACTGAGCCCGAGACAGAGGCAGGGGCGGGGGCCAGGCCGGAGCCCCGGGCCAGGGCTGCCCTCCTGCAGGCTGTCACTCGGGTCCATGCGGCTTGCGCTGTCTTCTCCGCTGCACGGCTTCGCGGAGGGCCGCCAGGAGCAGCTCCCGGCTGTTGCAGATGTTGTAGCGCGTCAGGCCCAGCAGCTTGTCCACGTCCTCCTGGCTGTAGGTCACCTTCGTGTAGTGGTAGGGGGAGTCGGATGGAGACAGGTTCACCTGCCCCGCCTCCTTCTCCTCGGGCGTCCTCGGGACCCCTGTGCAGAGAGAGGTCAGCCTGGGCATGGAGGGATCCGGCACTAGGGGGTGGGGGAGGCGTAACAAGGGGCGGGGGCCGGAGTACCAGGAGGACGAGGGGCGGTGGGGTGGCCCGGTGGCTCACCAGGGGCCGAGTGCTCCCGGAAGGAGTCATTGACCAGCGGGAAGTGCAGAATGATGGGGGCCTCGGGGTGGCAGGGGTCCGAGAACTTGTGGCACTCCCGAGGCTGGTGCTCCTCCTCCGGGCTTGGCGAGATGGGCGGGAAGGGGATCCCCTGCTCCTGGCAGAACCGGCCCACAAGCTGCAGCTGCTGTAGGGGTGCAGAAAAGGGGGTGTGGGGAGTGCAGCTCACACCAGGTGACGCTGTCAGAGACGGTGACACCAAAATGACCGTCTCAAACATACCCCTGTAGTTAGTTATAACAACAAAAACATTTTTTGTAAGCCCAGCTTACATGTATCAATACACTTACAAAGCTAAAACTCTGTGCTAATTGACTTTTGAACCTTCTAATGTGCTCTGGTCAGAGCTGTCATTACCCAATTACAATGACGCGTCGAATCACATGGTTTCATCTACGCTGTAGTTCTCATTGCTGCCAATGTTTTTACAGTCGCTGATTTTGTCAGACTTTCTGGTGTTTTAGCTACAATATTGTGGTAATTAGGATTTGTAAGCCTACGTTAAGAGATCGGCTGCTAACCAAAAGGTCGGCAGTTTGAATCCACCAGCCGTTCCTTGGAAGCCCTATGGGGCAGTTCCACTCTGTCCTACAGGGATGCTATGAGTCGGAATCGACTCCACAGCAATGGGTTTGGTGTCAATAACTTTTTGAGAACAAGCAGTAATTAAAGAAAAAGAAGGAGTGATATACGGGAATTATGATTTACAAGTAACATTAGTACAAAACCATTACTAACGATTCTTCATGGTCTGGGAAGGGAGGAGGTCCGTGAGGGGGTGGTGACACCATGCATTATGGCACTGGATGACCCTGACCCTAGCACTGGGCATCACAGGGATGGTCACGGGGCTCCCTGTGTTCTCAACACCTGACTGCGTGAATATGGGGATCTGCTAAAGACACACGGACTTAGCGCCTGACAACCACATTAAAGGCTCCAGCAGACCCGACAAAGCCAGGCCAGACTTAGGAAAAAAGCTCCAAGCCTGGACAGTCCTACTGCTGCAGCTGCTGGGGGTTCCACCAAACCGGGCTGTAAACAGTCGTCAGGGTCTGAAATCGGGAAGCAAAACCTCTCGCTGTATGACCACGGAAAATACAAGCACGGGGTCCCAGGGCTCTACAGCCAGCCAGGGTGCAGGAGCAGCAATGGGGACCAGATACAAAATACATACGGGAGCCAGCTGCCCCATCGCCCCAGCTTCCCAGAGCAGAGAACGTCCCCCTGGTGGTGAATGAGGAAAACCCACAGCGTTCTGTTCACATGCTGTCACTGTCACAGCTCCTCAGGAAAGCTTCAAGGCGAGGCTCCCCAGAGGCCAGGATAAGTGGGCAGACCAGTGAGGACAGGCCGGGCCGGGGGCCGCCCACCGCCTCCCAGCCTGCCCAGCCCCCAGGTGCCACAGGTCCAGTGAGAGCCCCACCTGAAAGGCTCCCTGGAGGTTGTAGTCCAGGGAGAGGATGAGGTCTACGTCCCGCGTGGGCTGCAGGAGGGGCGGGCAGCTGGTGTTGATGAAGTAGCCGACATCCAGCAGGCAAAGGTGAGGCTCCGCGGGTGTCAGCTGGTTAGGGAGCCCGTCCAGTTTGGTGGCTGGAAAGGTTTGGAGGGGGGAGAAGAAGCAATTGTCACTGATGGAGAGGACACCAGCCTCCTCCGGCCAATGGCAGTTGCTTGCTGCTACTGCTGGAAAGAGGCTCCGCCCTCTGGCCATGGCTCCCTCTTGCTGAAGCAGTGCCTGCAGGTGGGCCCTATATCCCCAGCACAAGGCGAGGGAAGAGACCTCGGGATCAGGGGCTCTGCTCGTGGGACTGAGCTCAGAAGATTTGCTGCCAAGGAGGATGGGGTGGGGAGTAGAGAGTGAGGGTGCCTGGACTCGAGACCCGAGGCGTTGGGAAGGCTTTGGGGAGCTGGGACCTTGGAGAAAAGCAGAGACCTTTCCAGGTGGAGAATTGAGGGTGCTGGAAATAGTCTTTGTGGAAATGGAGGCCGTGCAGGAAATTGTGGGTGGCCTGGGCAAGTGGGCGCCAAGTCAGGAGGTCAGTGAAAAACTCCGCCATCCTTCCAGTCATGCTGGGTGGTTCTTCTGTCTTCAGAACGGGGACCTGCTCCTTGTCTGCACAGTCAGGAGAGTTGGGGGGAGTGGGATGTCCATCAACAAATGGGGACCACTGCACCTTTATCCCAGCCTCTATGGCTGGTGACCCTGGAGGAGAACAGCTGAGCCTCCCAAAGGCCTGGGAGCCACCCCCTACCCCCAACACAGCCCCAACTGGCTGTTCCTTTGTGCCCTGACGAAGGAGCCCAAGCACCTACCCAAGGTGGCCTGATTCTGAGCCCAGCGGTCCCAGAACTGGCTGGGATCTGAGGACCAGTATAAGCTGTCCTGGAGGTTGGCTGCATACAGGTTGGTCCAGAGACCTGGAAGAGCGGACATGAGGGGGAGAGAGCCCCCATCCCTGTCATGACCTGACCCTTCATCACTGCCCGTCCTGGACCAAGGAAATGTCTCAGTGACAGCATCCCCAGGCCCATTCTCCTCTCATGCCCTGGCTTCTCCAGGTGCCCTTACCTTCCAGGAAGCAGATCCGGGACTCGGGGAGGCGCTTCATCAGCCGCCCCATGAAGAACTTGGAGCCGAAGAGCTCAGAGGGGATGAAGGCCCCGTACTTGGGGAAGCCGACCTCATAGGGGGAAAACTCACACCACTCTGTGAGGAGACCATACGCCCTCAGCCTTGGGGCCTGAACCTGAGGACCCTCCGGCACCAGCCCACCCACATGGGCTCCATGCAGGGCAGGCTGGTGGAAAGGAGGCTCAGGCCTAGCTTGCTGGGATTGTGGACGTGGGGCCTGAGGCCTCTGACCCCTCTCTCTCAAAGGCCCAAGTGACTCTGGGTTAGGGTTAGGGTTAGAGTTGACAGTCTCTTGACTCATGGGACCTGGGCCAGAGTGCAGGGATGTGGGTGTAAAAACCACCTTCTACACATAGGCCCAGTTACCTCCTTCTCTGCCAACTGCAGGAACATGGGCCTCAGCTTCCGGGCTACTCACCCCCAAATTCAAAGGTGGACAGATGTTGCTCCTTGGTGTTGAGGGCACAATAGATGGGCAGAGGGTTCTGGCCATGACTCAGGGCCTCCCGCTGATCTGAGAGTTTGTGGTCATATGGCTGGGGGAAAGATGATGTGAACCTAAACCCACGGTCTCGTGGTACCCAGAGGCTTCCCCACCCCTGCCGCCCAGGGCTGCTCCCCACCTCTAGGCCTGGCCCTGCCTCTGCCCCTCCCCGCAGGCAGCCCCTTCCTGTACCTCATCATGCAGCAGCGCCTCATTGACGAGTGCCCACAGGTTGGTGAAGCAGGCTGGGTAGCCCAGACGGGCACGCTCAGCCAGCTCCTGCCAGTACCGCTGCAGTTGGCTGGGGGCCAGCACACCCAGCTTGCTCTTGGTCACCTGGGTCTTCAGCAACTCAGTGGGCCCCGCCAGGTCCTTCTGAGACCACTCTGGATCCTCATAGAGGTTGGCCAAGGTCCTAAGCAGAGCCAGGGGCGGGGATGTCTGCCACTCAAGGACTCCACCCAGACCTCACACCCACCCTTGGGCTTTCTAATCCAGGACAACAGCCCGGCAGGCACCTTCCAAGAAGTCAGGGGCAGGCTGAGGCCAACTCTCAATGGAGACAGCCAGCCCCTGAGGGACCCTTGGGCACACTCTTCCCTGGCCACATACATTCTCCCAGCCCTTCCAATCTGGTCAGAAAGGCCAAGGGGGCCTCAGAGAGCCTGACCACATGCCCCACCACAAGCCGACTCGCTGACCCCAGGCTCCTGCACTCAACCTGCTCACCAGGTGGAGCCCGAGGCCCCCGTGATGTAAGAGATGCAATCCAAGAGGCCCAGCTCCCTCAGGCCGGCCAGCTGCCCATATAGGGAGGTCATTGCCCGGATTCCCCCACCGGTGGCCATAATGGCTACCACTGGGACCTGGAAGAGAGGTTGGAGAGGCCTTCGGGGCTTAAGGAGGGGAAAGGCCAAGCCACAGGAAGAGAACGTAGCAAGTCAAGTGGCCATTCAGCTCTCCCCAAAGCTAAGGCTGGTCGAGGACGGGTCAGGGCCTTGGACCAGGTCTGAGTCAGCGCAGCTGAGGAGAGTGTTGTCAGAATAGCCCCCTCACCAGCGCTGGTCTTCTTGGGTTTTGAGAACTCCAGGAAGAACAGACCAGACAAGTCCAGGCCTTATCTCCTCACCCCCAGTCCCTGAGGAATATGGAGATCACTTTCTAGAAGCCCAGGACCACCTCAAAAGCCCCCCACAGAGCCAACCCTCCCCCTTTTGCAAGGAGAGGTCATTTGCCCAGGAAACAGCCCAGCCAGCAGGCAGCCCTCGTGCCAGATGTCCACTGATCCATCGGACAGGCCCAGTCTTAAAACTTGGACCAAGCCCGGGGCCAAACACAAAGAAAGGAAAACTACCCCGGGGTGGGGAGGCGGGGGCTTGATAACAGTGAGCGAGTGGGAAGCAGAGCTTGGGCAGGCAGATGAGAGGCCGGCACAGGCCTGGCTTGGCCGGAGCCCTGGTCTGGATATGGAACAGATCAGGGCCCAACCAGTTCAGCACTCAGCACTGGGCTCTGGGCCCAAGCAAGCCCCAGACCTCTACTCTGCAGCCCAGCCCCCAGACCTCATGCTCCTGCAGGTCGCCCTCCAGCTGCAGGGCCTGGGACCCCCACCCTGCAGCCCAGCCCCCAGACCTCATCCTCCTGCAGGTCACCCTCCAGCTGCAGGGCCTGGGACCCCCCCCCCCTGCAGCCCAGCCCCCAGACCTCGTCCTCCTGCAGGTCGCCCTCCAGCTGCAGGGCCTGTTGCAGGGCCTTGGCCACCACCTGCTTCCTCCTGGTCAGGAAGGCCTGCTCCTCGGTGCAGGGACTGCAGCCCAGCCGTACGGCCACCTCCCCGGGTCTAGGATGGGGAGGGAGGGGCCGTGAGGCAGTGCTCAGCCTCATCAAAAAAGATCCCATTTCCATCTCTTCTCATTCCTGTGTCCCAAGACCCTGAAGCTTAACACCTGTGGAGTATGAGGGGAGATGGTGCGTCCATACCCACACATACACTTGGGGACACAGCAGGGTGGGCATCACAGTGACTAAAGGAGACCCCGGGCGGGACCCGACCCCTGGTCCATCCCACCCCCGAGCCTCAGCTTCTCCCCCTCACTCTGCCAAGTCTGAAAATGACTACAAACGGCGTGGAAAAGGAGGAACAAGTGTCTCTAAGTCTGGGATTCTTACTGTCCCAGACACATGGAAGGCCAGAGCAGGCAACCATCTTACTCCATGAAGTTTATCTAAGGTCCATCCACACGGCTTCCACCCAAACGGGGCAACTTCTCCTCTTCCCTCTCGATCTCCACACCTTCTCTGTGCCTCAAACCATGTTATTCTCTGCAGCTTCCACCTGTTTTCCAGCCTAACATTTATCAAGTGCCTCCCAAACACCAGGCCCTGGGCAAGGCACACACCCCACCCCTCCGGTGAAAGCAGACACAAGTCGAAAGATTAAGAGAACCTTTATATTCTGAGCGCCCTCCCAGGACTGTGAGCAAACCCCTGGGCCACCCCATTTCTCCCCCTCGCTCCCTCGGGCCTGCCCAGCATCCTGCCCCCTCCCTGGCTGCTCTCCCACCCCCAGCCCAGCCTCTCACCCTTCTTCTTTTCTCAGCTCCACCTTCATCAGGGACTCCTGAAAACCCCAAATGCTCCAGTCACAAAGGCTAGCCACCTGCATCCCAACCGCGCTGCCTCTCCCCGGCCCTAGCCACAGCCCTGGGATATCTGCACGTGCCTCCCTGAGACCCCCAACATCTCTCCAGGGATGTGCACCCCACCCCCTGCCAGCCTGGCCCAGGAGAGGAACGAGTCACTGCCCAGCCCCATCCCTGCATCCAGCACTTTTCCTCTGGGTGACCAGTACCTGGGACATAGGGAAGACGAGTCTCACTGGCTGGCCTGGCAGCAGGGCCCTCAGTGGCACCTTCAGTTGCTCTTGGGGGGCATCCTGCAGGGGACAAAGGAGGAAGACCTGAGTCTCTGCCCTTCCACGCCTAGCAAGGCCCTCATCAATTCTGCCTGGAGTGACCAGGGAGTGGCAGATGTCCACTGCACACTCTCCCCTGGGGGCCTGACTCTGGCGGGGAGAGGGCTCAGAGGGCGAGCAGAGGGACAGGCTGGAGGAGGTGCCCAGGGAAGGCAGGCAGAAGGTTCTGGGCCCACCCCGCGGGAGTGTGGCCCACTACCTGCAGATGGATACTCAGCTCTTGCTCCCAGAAGGTCGGGAAGTGGAAGCGGAGGGAGCCGGCGCCCACGGAGGCCTCCTGTGGACCCTCACAGGACCCGGGAACCACAAGCTGAACTTTGCCCTCTGACTCTGGAGACAGGAACCAAGGCAGGGGGGCTGGGAATGGAATCCCTGCACAAGGGTGCCTCCCTCCCCTCTGGCCCAGGCAGAGGCTGGGAAACCATGTCCCCACCACAGCCCCCTGAGGGCTATGGGGAGAAGCTCAGGTCCTGCGGAGCCCCAGGACAGATCCACCCCCAACCTCTACTCCCACCTCTGAGAGCGGAAGGCGGCTCATGTAAGGCTCTCTCCAGGGCAGGCAGCTTAGAAAGGGAGAGACAAGGGCTGACGACCAGGGCTGTCCCAGTGGGCAGGGCACTCACCCTTCTGGTCTCCTGCCTCCTCCAGTCGCACGTACAAGCAGGAGAGCTGCCGGGCCTGAGTCAGGAAGAGAGCGCTCAGATGCCCCTCCCACTCAGGGACCCCACCCTGCCCAGCACCCTGGGCCTGGCTCCACGGCACTTCCCGACCCCAGCCCAAGCTACTGGACATTTCTGAGATGGTATCCCCTTGAGGAACTGAAATCCCAGGGCATCCCAAATTCGGCTCTACCCCTGACCCAGGCAGGCTCCAGGCCTGGAGGGGAGCAGACAGCCTGAGGGAGGGGTCCCCTAGGAATGCCCAGTCGCCCCCTCCACCAGACCACCATCCCAGACTCACCACCAGGATGCCATTGCTGACAAGCTGCTCCGCACAGTCTGTCCTGGAAAGGGCCCAACGAGCCTTAGTGGGGGGCCGGCTCTCACCCCCCAAGAGGCCCGGGCAGTCCTCCCTGCCCTCTGGGTGTCCCCAGGGAAGGGGGCCAGCTCTGGGAGCACGGGGCTCTGTCCTTCCCAGAAGGGAGCACTTCCACCCAGAACCCCCCACGGCCCCTGACCCACCGACTCTGCAGCCGAAACTCAACTTCCAGCCACTGCTCACTCTGGAGAGAGAAACGGCAAGAGATGAGGAGTGTGTGTGGGCATGTGTGTATGGGTGTGTGTGTGTGTATGGGTGTGTGTGTGTGTATGGGCATGTGAGTTGTGTGCATGTGTGTGTGTATGGCTGTGAGCGAATATGTGTCTGAATGTGTGTCTGAGTGTGAGTGCATGTCTGAGTATGTGTCTGAGTGTGTGTGTGTATGGGTGTGTATGCGTGAGTATGTGGGTCTGTGTATGTGAATGTGTGTGTTTGAGTGTGTATGGGGGGTGTGTATCTGAGTATATGTGTGTGTTTACGTGAATGTGTCTGAGCATGTGTGTTTATGTGAATGTGTGTTTATGTGAATGTGTGTATGTGTGTGTGTGTCTGAGTGTTTATGTGAATGTGTCTGAGTGTGCATGTCTGAATGTTTATGTGAATGTGTGTGTGCGTGTGTCTGAGTGTTTATGTGAATGTGTGTGTCTGTGTGTGAGTGTGTGTGTCTGACTGTGAGTGTGTGTCTGAGTATGTGTGTATGTGTGTGTAGATTCCAAGCAGACACCAGCTGGGGGTGCTGAGGCTTCACCAAGAAGGGGTGCAGGGGAAGGGCCACTGTCCCTCCCCAGGCTGCTCTGCCCACGCTCTCGGGACTGCTACAAGACAGCTTCCCTCTGGCTTAGGGGCCAAGAAACAGAACTGACCGCTCCCCCATGGAGAGGAGCTCCTGGCTGGCAAAGGCCTCTAGAGGGCCAGGGAAGCCTGGACCACTTGACGTTTTGTAAAAAGCTCTCCGAAGAAGAGGCGTTTACACAGCTCTCCCTCCAAAGCTCCTCCCTCTCCTGGTGCCGAGGCCCCAGTGCCCTCAGCTGCCCTGAATCCAGTCCTGCCTGAGGGCTCAGCGAGAAGCTCTGGCGCCGGAACTCCCCAGGCCGCAGAGTCCCCACATCAAACAGCACTGACAACATGGGGTCATCTTTGGTCAGCAGGTCCTCGTCAAAGACTGTCAGTTCCACCACGTTCTGGAAGGGGAAGAGAACGAGAGGGCTGCAGGAAGGATGGGCGGGGCAGGAGAGCCAGCGGGCAGGGGCGGGCAGGCAGAGAGCAGGGCTGGGTGGAGGCAGGCCCACCTTGAGCTGGCTGTGGATCCAAAAGTGAAAGCTCTGATTCCAAACGGGGTTTCTGCAGTTCCTGACTGTGTGTGTCCGGAGCCTGTGGCTGGATGCCGTGGGCAGCCACAGAGTCACATAGCAGTCAGAGGGGGTCACTGCGGGGAGGAGGAGTGACCGCCCAGTGATGTCCGAGAGCCCCTCCCAGACTCCACCATCACAGGGAGCCCTGGAGACCCGTGTGGATGGACGGTCAGGCAGAGCAGAGGCAGGGCCCCAACCTCCACCTCCCCCCCAGTCCCTCCTCTCCACACCCCCTGCCCAGGACCCCAGCAGGCCCAGCCTGCATCTCCCCACACTGTCCCTGCCCCATCCTGAATTCCACTGCAGAACCGTTCTCCTCCCTCGGCCCAGACTCACCTGGGTCCCTGGAGAGCAGGCCATGGGCCTGCAGGACGCGAACGGTGAGCAGGCAGGTCCCGGGCACCACAGCCTGCAGAGGCGGGAGGAGGGACAGGCTTGCCGCAGGCTGATGGGGCTAAAGGCTCCAGGGGATGGAGGGGAGGCAGGGCGACGCTGGGGTCTCACCCTGCACCAGAAGGACCAGGGCCGCCAGCCCATCAGAATCCTGAATCTGGAGGAGCTACGGCATTTTTACAGTAACTTACGTAACACCCTGCACCAGCTTTGGTTCCAAGGGCTTTACACACATGAGCTCAATAGTCACAACAACCCTGCGCACGGGTACTGTTCATGACGATCAGCCTCACAAGGGAGATGAGGCACAGGAAGGGGAAGTTGTAACCTGCCCGAGGTCCGGAGCCAGGGTGTGAACCCAGGCAGGCTAGTTTGAGTCGTGCTCTCAACTCCCACACTCACCTGCTTCCATTTGGGTACAGCGTCCTTCAGTCTTTCCACCCCACACCCCTAGCCCACACTCATGCTAAGCGGCTTTGAGGCTGGTCTCGGGTGGCAGGGGTAGGGGGTGTAAGGTCACGGAGGGAGAGAAAAAGGCCTGTCGGGGCCTAAGGCTCTGCTCCCTGTACTCTCCAGCCCTGGGCAGGGGACAATTCTGGAAATGAGATCTCTGCTAAGGTAGGCTCAGCAGTTACCAGCTCACATGGTCCACAGGTAGCCAAGTCTTAGCCCTCCAGGTTCTATGAGGTCATGATCAACATGGTCCCAGGAGGTTCCATCCAAAACCATCCCCGGGTTCTGGGACACAGCCCCTGCCAGGTGTGCCAGGGTAGGGAATTCTGTGCCAGCTGGTCCCTCTCTGGCCTCCAGCCCGGCCGCAGGAAGGCCCTGATGGATGGAGCCTGGGAAACTCATCCATCCATGTCAGCCCCGGGTCCCCCACACCCCAAGCCACTGAGTCAGAGGGAGCTGCAGAGCGGCCCCCTCCCTCTGGGGCCCCAGGAGAGCAGCTGTGAGCCTCCCATGGTGCCTGGAAGCTGTGTGGAGCCCACTGCTAGGGCAAGAACAACTCAGGACAGATCCCAGGACCCTGCCCCTTCCATGACTGCTCCTCACGGCCCTGGCCCAAGGCTGGCAAACGCCCACTCCACATCTGGAGAAGACCGCAGCTCCCGCGCCTCCTGAGAAACAGGCTTAACCAGGGCCTGGGTGGGGGTCGGGGTCAGAGGTCAGAGTGGTGGGGCCCAGAGTCCTGCCGGCCTTACCAGAGCCATGAGTCTGGGCGTCCAAGCGGGGAGGAATGGCAGGCAGTGGCCGCTGGACCAAGGAAGTGAGATTTTTAACTAAGATCAGGGGTGTCCCAACTGGCTCAGAGCTCCTCCCTGGTCCCTCCCACCTGCCTCTTCTGCTCCATCCAGGCCCCACACCCACTCCTGGACCAGCCACCTGTCCAGGAAATAAGGCACTTCAGCCTATACTGGAGGTACTGACACCCTTGTGTGTGGGCTCAATGTCCTCTCGCCCCGCCCCAGCTCCCTGGAAGACCCACTTCTACCAGCCAATACCATCTGGGCCTTCCCCTCCTGGCCTGACCTCTCAGCCCTGGCCTAGAGGAGGGAGGCTCCCTGGTGAGCTTGCTGTCCGGGGCTGAGCAGAAGGAAAAGGAAGGGGGTGCCTGGAGGGGCCGCTGAGGTCTGGAAAGCAGGGGTGGACTTCCAGAGCGGGGCAAACCGAAGAGCTGAGTACCCCATCAGCAGGGCCTTTCACAACCTCCTGGTACCAGTATGACAGGAAAGCCCAGTCTTGACTGAAGCGCTGGGCCAATCTGACAGAAGTGCCCCGGGCCCCATCATCAGCTGGCAGGGGAGTGGTTTTGTTACATAAATCAGCCCTTCAAAGCCAGGTGCTGGACGGCCTCCATCCTTGGAGATGGGTGCTGGGTGCCGGGGATAAGGCCTCCAGGTTGGCACTCAGGGGGAGAGGGACTCTTTCATTTCGAGGGCCCAGTTTGTGGGGGGAGGGAGAGTCGAGTGAGGAGACCAGCTCCTTCCACAGAGAACAGCCCAGGAGGGGTACATGCTTCTGTCCTCTCCTACCTGTGCTTTTTTGGGGGCACCAACCCCACCAGATGCCCTGGAGCCAGAGGAGGAAAGCAAACGAGGCCAGGGCAAACTCAGGCGCAGCTTTACAGGCCCTGAGTCAACCGGTCCATGCCGGAGAGCTACAACAGCAGAGAAAGGGTCTGCCCCTGGCCTGAGGAAGGGTTTGGTGGCTGTCATGGACAGACAGTGCCTCAGGCCAAGGTCTGGACCAGGCCCTCACCCCCAATTAGGGACCTTTGGAAGTTTTTACCTGACCTTAAACCCTCCAGACACAGAAGGCAACTTCAAGAGAGAGAGTCACAGCCTATGAATCGCTGCCTTTTATTGTGCGTCTCCTCCATGCAGGCCCTGTCAGCGCTGGGGCCTTACAGACCCCACCTCCAGGCCCCACAGCAGCCTGTGAGGTAGGACCATTATTATCTCTGTTTTACAGACAAGGACACCAATGCTCTGAGACGCAGTAGCTTGCCCACGGCCACCAAGCTGCCGAGAGGCGGTGCTGGACCTGAAGCTCCACTCTTCCTGGTGACAGGTCACTGCCTCACCTGTGTGGCAACTTCCCAGGAAGCCTCACCTAGACCTGCCTGGCACTTCCTGGTCCTACTGATCCCATCCAAGAGTCTCTAAAGCTGATCCCAACCCAAGCCGGGCCCGGACCAGCAGCCGGTGTGCATGTCGCCTCCGAGGTGTCTCTAGAATCGACCTGGCCCTGGAGGGGCCTGACTGTTCCCTGAGCTGTGGGTGGCAATGTTCACCAGGGCTCCACTAGTTGAGGCCTGAGGCCTTGGTGAGAGAGTCAAGTAGCTGGAAGTAACTGTACCTGAGGTCGTACTCCATGTCGTACCAGAAATTCACTGTAGGGAGAACGGGGGTGTGAGTGGGAGGCTCCTTCTTGTAACCCTTCTACCTGAGAGCCGTCCCAGCCCGCCCTGCCCAGATGGCCTGCTGGGCAGCGGCCGTGCAGCTCCTCACCGGCAATGCAGCCGTGGGACTGCTGGACATGGTGGAACCACAGGGCTGGCAGGTAGAGCATCTCGCCGGCCTGCACGGTGCAGCGCAGGGCCTGCGCCCGACGGTACCCAGGGTACCGGGCCAGATCTGGCGCCAGAGGGTCCAGTGGGATCCAGGGCACCTGGGGACACAGCAGGGCCAGGAAACAGGCCGCAAGGCCCCCTCAGGCTCTGTCTTTTCCATAGGTAAGCCCACAGGCCCCACACCGCTCAGCACTGGGCAGCCCTAGATTTCGGGATTTTTCAGAGGAAGGTGCCGCTTCCCAGATCTTCTGAGCCTGCTTCTCAGAGCCCAGGCTCTTGCCCTCCCCCTCCCCCTCCGCAAGATGTGAGGCTCATCCCTCCCCAGGGCCCAGGAACACACCTTCTCCACCGCCTCTTCATCCACCACCTTAAAGGTACCCTCCTCGGTGAGCTGGAAGATTGCTGGTGTGTACAGCTCTGAGGCCAGAGAAGAGTGGGGGGCCTCAGCAGACAGTGCTTCCAGCCCCCATACCCTGCCCCGGCCACTCCCACTGGCTCCCAGGCCTCAGGGGCAAGGTCAGGGTCCTACTGAAGGAGACGCTGTGTCCATGCCACAGGCTCTCACTGCCCTCCCTCCCTCTAGCTCGAGTCCCCTGCTCCCCAGCAGGCCATGTCCCCTACCATAGGGGATGAAGGGCCGGTCGCTGGGCGGATGTAACAGGAAGTGCTTCTCTCCCGAGACAACACAGTAGAGGTTCTCATAGTGATCCTTGTGCACTGTCGACACAAAAACAGCCCCACAGGCAGGGTCATGAGGGGCAGAGGGCAAACCACCTGCTCCAAGCCTGGCACCTCAAGACAGCTGATGGTGTAAAAGAACAGCACGTCAAAGGTCAAAGCATGCCCTGAAATAATCTTTAAACCTTAAACCAAAAACATCCCCTGAATCTTCTTAAACCAAACAACGTTCAACTTAACTGGCAAATAATGTCTGCCTTGAGCATTATGCTCTTTTAAGATCTAGCTACATGGGATCAAACTGATTACAGCATCTTGAAAAATTAGACAGGAAATTTAGGGGGCAGTGAGTTTATGTCAATGGTGGAGGAATTACTTGGAAAAGGAGGGTGAGAATGTCATCAGTGTCACTGAATTGCACATGTAGAAACTGCTGAATTGGTGTATGTTTTGCTGTGTTCATCTCAACAACAACAACAAAGTCAAAGCAGGCTCAAGATGAAGCCAAGGAGTTGGCGAGCCCTTTAGATCTCGTCCACCAGGGACTTGGCGTTCACCAGGCCCTTGGTTCTTCTTCACCAGGAGGTGAATTCGAGCACATGGGGTTCTCCTAAGTTCACCTCCCAAACTAGCTGACCTTCTGAGAGCTTTCTCGGCACCTAGAAGACCAGCGCACCCCACCCCAGTGCCACCCCACACCCAATGCCTCCCCGCCTCAGCATGCTGGGCAGACCCTTTGTGGTGCCTAAGTCCCAGAAACCCAGGAGAAATCTTGGAGGACAGTCGGCCCCACTTCTCTCCAGGCCCAACCTCCCACTCTTGGCCTCATGGTCCCTCCTCCCCGTCCTGTATTTTCTGACACCTACAAGATGTCACTGCAGCTGCCTCCCCCAGCCAGAAGTTCACAGCATCGGGCATCTTTCCTGCAGGCCAGAGGGAAGAGGGTTAGGAGAGAGTGTTCCCTGAAGGCCAGGCTGGGGATAAGCACTCTACGGAGATGTTGGGGCAAAAAACTGGGCGGAGCAAAGGGGGCCTAAGAAAGAGAGTGGGGAGAAGAGGCAGAGGTTTGGAGAGCTTGGGGAAGGGGCCCACCCTCTCTGAGGCAGCAGCAAGGGCGACAATTCTCAGCAGTTCCTTGGCTATCATGTCAAGGCCTGAGGAGCTGAGCGTTTAGTGGGCAGCACCTGAGCCTGCGGGGCCAAGAGTGTGGGCCGAGTCATCATCAAAGGAAGAGAAGAAGCAACCAGGGCTGACCCCTTCCTTCCCATAGCACCCCTGCCCTGCCGCCAGGTCAGAGACCACCCCTTGCCCCTGCCTCCTCCACTAACCCAGCGCCTCGGAGGCCCAGGGCACGTGAGGCTCCAGGTCAGGCAGCAGCTGGGGCAGCTCGGTCTGCAGGTTGGAGCATTGCTTCTGCACATAGAGGACTCCAGGGTGCTGGGTCCGGCCCTCCAGCACGTCCAGCACGCTGCTCAGGGGCAGGCGGCGCTCGGCTGGCATCACAAAGCGGTCTCCCCGCACTGCATCTGCGTAGCCATCTGGGGTCACAGCCACACTCACCTCTGTGGAGCCTACTGTGGCCCTGGAGGAAGGGACACTCAGGCCATGCCCAGATGCCACAAAGCACCACCCACCACCCCACCCCAGCACAGCCCACCTCAGGTAAGGGAGTGACCACTTCTGGAGGGCCGGCCAGTGCTGCAGAGCATTGCGGATGATGCAGGGCCTGTTGGGGCAGACCCAGTCCCGGTAGAAGTGGAGTGGAGTGGGGGGCTCGTCCAGGTAGGGCACAGCCAGAGGCACGCTGAGCTCTGAGACAGGGAGACAGGTGCTGACACCAGCAGCACCCAGCCCCTGCCCAACTGCTGTGTAGACACCCTCCCTGGGCACCCGGCCCCTGACCCACCACCCGTGTAGATGCCCTCCCTGGACGCCCAGCCCCTGACCCACCACCTGTGTAGACACCTTCCCTGGACACCCAGCCCCCATCCTGTCGCCCCTATAGACACCTTCTCTAGGCACCCGGCCCCTGCCCCACCGCCCGCGTAGAAGCCCTCCCTGAACACCCAGACCCTGCCCCGCCGCCCGCGTAGACGCCCTCCCTAGACACCAGGCCCCTGCCCCACGGCCTATGTAGACACCCTCCCTCGGCACCCAGCCCCTGCCCCACGGCCCATGTAGACGCCCTCCCTTGGCACCCAGTCCCTGCCCCGCCAGCCGTGTAGACACGGTGTCACTGAGCATGCTCACTGGTAACAAGGGACCCTGGATAACTAGGAATGGAAGAATGAGGAGGGGAAGTTAAAGGAGAAAGCATGAAGCACACACAGACCCTCCACTAAGGGCCATAAAAGCCCACAGGCCCAGGGCTCCTGCTCAGCCCATAACCCAAATCCTCCGTGGCCAGCTCGGGCCACAGACAGTGGACCCTTAGCTTCCCCCACCTGGAGAAGCCAGCCTCCCAGCATCATCAGGAAAAGCAGCCACTGGAGCAGTGCAGGGAGCTCCAGAATGAGTACAACTGAGGCCCAAGGTCATGGGCTGGTTTGGGTGGGGTGTGGCCCCAGAACACACTCCAATGGCAAAGATTTACTGAATATTCTGGAATGTGCTCAGCACCTGGCTTGGCCAGTGGGGAGGTGTCACCTCAAGATGCTTACAACCTAACTGGGGAGACAGACTATCACATGAAACCCTTGGGTCTTATGAACAGTACTGCACAGTGTGTGCCTGTGGGGATGTCTGTACCAGCCCCATATTGCTCATTTTCGACGCATCCTTCTCCTGCACTCTTGTTATCCTATTGGTTATTTCTAAGTCCCACTGATTCTACCTCCAAGTGTCTCTCACACCTACCTGCTGCTTTTCTCCTTCACATTCAAGCTATCTACTTTGGGTCTTCACTCAAACATCACCTCAGTGAGGCTTCCTTCCCTGGCTATCCTTCTTTAAGTTATAAACTGCCCCACCTCAACGATCTCTATTTTAAAACAAAAATCAGTTGCCATCGAGTCAATTCCAACTCATGGCGACTGTCATGGATTGAACTGTGTCCATCTGAACTGTGTCCCAAAATATCTGTCAACTTGGCTAGTCCATGATTCCCAGTATTGTGTGATTGTCCACCATTTTGTCATCTGATGTGATTTTCCTATGTGTTGTAAATCCTACCGCTATGATGTTAATAAGGCGGGATTAGCGGCAGTTATGTTAATGAGGTAGGACTCAATCTACAAGATTAGGTTGTGTCTTAAACCAATCTCTTTTGAGATATAAAAGAGAGAAGCGGGCAGAGAGACAGAGGGACCTCATACAACCAAGAAAGCAACACCAGGAGCAGAGTGCATCCTTTGGATCAGAGGTTCCTGCGCTGAGAAGCTCCTTGACCAAAGGAAGACTGACGACAAGGACCTTCCTCCAAAGCCAACAGAGAGAGAAAGACTTCCCCTGGGGCTGACACCCTGAATTTGGACTTCTAGCCTACTAGACTGTAATAGAATAAATTTCTCTTTGTTAAAGCCATCTAGTTGTGGTATTTCTGTTACAGCAGCACTAGATGACTAAAACAGTGACCCCATGTGTGTCAGAGTAGAACTGTGCTCCATAGGGTTCTCAGTGGCTGTGACCTTTCAGAAGTAGATCACAAGGTCTTCCTCTGAAGGTGCCTCTGGGTGGATTCAAACTGCCAACCTTTCAATTTGTAGCCAAGTGCTTAACCATCTGCACCACCCAGGGACTCCTAGCAATCTCTAGTATCCCTTTCCATTTATCACCACCTAACACACTATTTAAGGAGCTCTGGAGCCCTGATGGTATAGTGGTTAAGCACTCGGCTGCTGACCAAAAGGTCAGTGGTTTGAACCCACCAGCCACTCCACAGGAGAAAGATGTGGCCGTCTGCTTCCATAAAGATTACAGCCTTGGAAACCTTATAGGGCAGTTCTATTCTGTCCTATAGGGTTGCTATGGGTCGGAGTCTGACTCAACAGCAACGGATTTGGTAGCAGGTTAACACACTATCTATTTTTACTTATTTATTTATCAATCTGCCTCTGTCATGGATTGAATTGTGTCCCCCCAAAATATCTGTCAACTTGGCTAGGTCATGATTCCCAGTATTGTATGATTGTCTACCATTTTGTCATCGGATGTGATTTCTCTGTGTGTTATAAATCCTATAACTATGATGTAATGTGATAGATTAGTGGCAGTTATATTGATGAGATCTACTAGATTAGATAGTGTCTTAAGCCAATCTCTTTTGAGATATAAAAGAAAGAAGTGAGCAGAGAGACATACGGATCTCATACCACCAAGAAAAAAGCACTTGGAGTAGAGCGTGTCTTTTGGACCTGGGGTTCCTGTGCAGAGAAGCTCCTAGTCCAGGGGAAGATTGACAAGAAGGATCTTCCTCCAGAGCTGACAGAGAGAGAAAGCCTTCGCCTGGAGCTGATGCCCTGAATTCGGACTTCCAGCCTCCTAGACTGTGAGAAAATAAATTTCTCTTTGTTAAAGCCATCCACTTGTGGTATTTCTGTTATAGCAGCACTAGATGACTAAGACAGTCTCCCCTGCTAGAATGTAATCTCCATGAGGGCAGGGATGCTTGCCTTGTTCACTGATGTATCCCCAGGATCTAGAATAGTACCCAGCACACAGTAGGTGCTCAGTAAATATTTGCTTAATGTCTTAGTCATTTAGTGCTGCTATGACAGAAATACTACAAGTGGATGCCTTTAACAAAGGAAAATTTATTCTCTCACAGTCTAGGAGGCTAGAAGTCTGAATTCAGGGTGCCAGCTCTAGGGGAAGGCTTTCTTTCTGTTGGCTCTGGGGGAAGGTCCTGGTCATCAATCTTCCCGCTGGCCTAAGACCTTCTCAGCGCAGGAACCCCAGGTCCAAAGGACGCGCTCTGCTCTCAGATCTTCTTTCTTGGTGGTAAGAGGTCCCTCTCTTCTCTGCTGGATTCTTTTATATCTCAAAAGAGATTGACTCAAGATACAACCTAATCCTGTAGACTGAGTCCTGCCTCATTAACACAACTGCCTCTAAATCCTGCCTCATTAAACATCATAAAAAAACCCACTGCCATCGAGTAGATTCCAACTCATAGTGACCCTACAGGACAGAGTAAAACTGCCCCATGGGGTTTCCAAGGAGCAGCTAGTGGATTCGAACCGCTGACCTTTTGGTTAGCGGCTGTAGCTCATGGTAGCTCTTAACCACTACTCCACCAAGGCTCCCATTAACATCATAGAGGTTAGGATTTACAATACATAGGATAATCACATCAGATCACAAAATGGTGGATAACCACACAATACTGGGAATCATGGCCTAGCCAAGATGACACACACTTTAGGGGGCTACAATTGAATCCCTAACACTTAATGACTGAATGAAGGTATTCAACATCTCCTGCCACAGGAGAACTAACTGGTTTCCCTGGCTTAACTCCCCTTCCTGCCAAAGCATTCACCACCCCAGCTGCAGTTACCTTCCTAAAACACAATCGCATTTCGTCACACCCCTAGTAAATTGCCTTTGATGACTTACCACCACTACTTCCAGAATAAAGTCTGAATGGCATGCAAGCGGCTCTGTAATCAGGCCCAACCTACTCTTCCAGTCGGATTTCCTTCTGCCTGGTGCCTGCCCCTTACCACACACCCTTGGCTCTGGTGGCGCCAGGCTTTGTTCCTGCCACTCCCTGACGGTGGAATCCCCTTCTCCCAGCTTGGCTTTGTGACTTAATCCTCCAGGTCTAGCTGCAATATCAGTGGCCACCGCACTCCCCTTCACCTCTGAGGTCACAATTCACCCTCTCACGACTGTGTCTCCACAGCCGGGAGGTAAGGCCATCATTTTAGCCTTGCAATCAGCTGGAAAGTCAGTATGTTTTTAGATCAGAAATTGGAACTGCGAGGGAAGACCCCGGTGGGCCTAGGAAAACTGGAAAGGAAAGAGTTGATTGGTGCGTTTGCTTCACTGGCAAAGAGGCAAATATAGAACCTGCCAAGGAGATACGGGAAGGTGGAGGGAAGACACCGGCAAAGGGCCTCCCAGCCACTCTAGCCCATCACAGCAGTCACCGCGGGAGAAGGCCATCTGGGGCTCAGTAAATCCCCATTATTCTCACTGGAATTCTTAAAATACGTGGAAACTGCCATTTTTATACCCTTTGTATTTTATTTATTTTATTTTGATTTTCTCACTATTGAATAGATTTCCTTGTGAGAATGGCCACTTCCCTCTCCTGGGGCTTCAAAGTGAGAGAATTTCGAAAGCCATCTAAACAATTCCTTTGATCCAACAATTCGATCCGCTAGGAACTGAACCAACTGAAGTACTCGCACACATACACAAACCCCGCTCCAGCCACACGGGCTGCTCCCCAAGCACACCAGGCACGCTCCCACCTTGGGCCATTGGCCTGGGCTGTGCCCTCCACCTGAAATCCTCCTCTGCAGATGTCTGCACAGCTCCCTCCCTCTGCTCCTTCAAGTCTGTGCCCAAATGTCACCTTCTCAGTGAGGCCCATTCTGACCATCTCATCTAAACTTACAACCAGCCTCCACCCCCAGTCCACAGCACTCATCTTCTGACCTATATATATTCATTTAGTGTGCCTATGGTTAGTTGTAGAGTCCCTAGGTGGCACAGTTAAGCGCTGCGCCGCTAACCGAAAGGTTGGGAGGTTCAAATCTACCCAGAGGCACCTTGGAAGAAAGGCCTGGAAATCTACTTCCGGAAAGTCACAGCCTTGAAAACCCCCATGGAGCACAGTTCTACTCTGCAACACGTGGGGTCG